CCGACGTCAACATGCGCCGCAGCATGGCAGCACTGATGTCATCAACACGCGCCACAGTATGGCAGCCCTGACGTCATCAACGTGCACTGCAGCATGGCAGCACTGATGTCATCAACACGCGCCGCAGCATGGCATCACTGACGTCATCAACGTGTACTGCAGCATGGCAGCACTAACGTCATCAACGTGCACTGCAGCATGGCAGCACTGACGTCATCAACGTGCACTGCAGCATGGCAGCACTGGTGAGAGCTCTACTTCCACTTCCACTTTTTTGTTCACTGTTGTTTTTCTTTAGACTTTTTGCGCCTGCACTGCACTCGCACACTACGGGTATGACCGCTACACACTTTAGGAGATGCGATTGTCAGTGAGTGGGGACTCTGTGGCAGACATTTTCCTCTGGCTCCTTTGTTTACTTGGACGCCGTAAGAGAAAAACACAGAGGGAAGCGAGCCGGTGTTGTGTGCAGGACCCGCCAGAGATGCAGCAAACACCTTCTCCCCTCAGTCCTGCTTTTGGGCGTTCAGCCTCTGAGGAACAGACTGGATGACCTGCGCACATGGATTTATTGCGAGCGGGACACGAGGAGCTGTTGTGTCTTTGCCTTTACAGAATCATGGCTGGAGCCGTCCACCCCCGACTGTGCTGTGTCTCCAGACGACTCCTCTGTCTCTACCAGCTCAACAGACCTGAGTCACATCTGGGACAGTTAATGTGTTTGTTGCTGCTGCACAATGTGGCTGTGTCATGTGTGTCGCTGCCTCGTCATCGTGGTTCAGTTCATCTCAGTGTTGCTCACTGGCCTGTCATACAACCTGTGTGGTGTATGTTGTGTGCAACATGTATGTATTGCATGCTACTGCCTGTGGGGTACTTATTTGTACCGATTCATCCTACATGCACCGTTGTGTTGTTTACTATATTCATTTTGGACCTCGTAGATGTTGCATTTCTTTTTCACTTTTTGGTGCTTTGTTTTGTACTTTTGTTGCATGCTTTCGTACTTCTTGTTTTATTTTGGAAAGTCGAGACGGTTCTTCTCCTCCTGAGCATTTCATTGCAATGTTGACCTTGTGTTGACCTTCATATGACAAATAAACTATAAACTAATAAACATATTGTTCTGTTTTGATTAAAAGCAGAGAAGCTTTGATGGAAAACTAAAAGTTCTGGACCTGGTCCGTTGATGTCGAGTCCAACAGAAACCACCCTGACAGACTGTTCATTCAGAACAGGAACGTAAAGTTTAACGTTCAGAGTCAGAGGTCAACATTAACACTCTCAGGAACAGACCAGAACAAACGAGGGTTGATGTTTCAATGTTGTCACCAAATATCTTAAAACAGCCTCCATTTTAAAACGGTGCAACTGAAAATACAAAATAAAGTTATAAAATACAAAAAATGGGACGGAGAGATTAGAGGATGGACAATAAAACCAAACCCAGAGGTCCTTTTGTAATGAAGCAGAAAGGTTTATTTTATCGATTACATGCTAACACTTCAGCATTTTCTTGGTTTTTAATGTAAATGAAGAACCTGTTTTCCATCGGATGATGAGTCGTCGGTTCAGTTTCACATTAGTTTTTAGCAGAACGTCCTCCTTCCTCTCCTCGCAGCTCGTGTTTCCTGTCTCCTTCCACACAGGTGACACCTGGCAGGCGGCATGGATAAATGTGAACGTGAGGTGGAGAACACGAGTCCGGAGCCTGCCAGCTGCTCGTCGCCTGGTTTGAAAGACGGGGAGCGGTTCTGTCAGATGAGTTCTTCTTTAACATTAATGAGTCGCCTGACTGCAGTCACATGCAGCACACTGTCAGGAAAACGAGCTCACACTGAGCCGTCTGAAGAAACAACTTGTAGAGATTTCTCATGTTTTGTGACCAAATAAGCTCCTAACACAAGGAGGTGTTTGTTTTTGGTTGTTTCATTTCTGCTGCTTTGTTTCCTGAAATATCTGGATTTTAGTGATTAAATCTTTCCCCAGACAGAAACTTTTAGGATTTCTGGCCTTTGAGGAAGAGACCACTCTAGATGTTTTTATTTGATTTTATTCAACCTTTATTTATACAGGTTAGTCTCATTGAGTCACGAGGACTCAATTTCAAAAGAGACCTGCTCTAAACACAACAACAAAAAGTAATTAAAATTAAAAATAGTGTTACAAAAACACTGTTACTATTAGCAGCATGGTCCTGTTAGTAATGTAGTCGTGTTAGCTGTGTGGTTCTGTTAGCAGTGACATTCTCTTAGTAGCATGATCCTGTTAACAACGTGGTCCTGTTAGCGTGTGGTTCTGTTAGTAGCATGAACCTGTTAACAACTTGGTCCTATTAGCAGTGTGGTCTTGTTAACAGCGTGGTCCTGTTAGCAGCATTGTCCTGTTAGCAGTGAGGTTCTGTTAGCAGCATGGTCCTGTTAGCAGTGTGGTCCTGTTAGTAATGTGGTCCTGTTAGCAGTGTGGTCTTGTTAACAGCGTGGTCCTGTTAGTAATGTGGTCCTGTTAGCAGTGAGGTTCTGTTAGCAGCATGGTCCTGTTAGTAATGTGGTCCTGTTAGCAGTGTGGTCCTGTTAGTAATGTGGTCCTGTAAGCTGTGTGATCATGTTAGCAGCATAGTCTTGTTAGTAATGTGGTCCTGTTAGCAGTGTGGTTTTGTTAGTAGTGTGGTCCTGTTAG